CTGCCGCCTTCCTTCAAGGAAGTCCGCTACCCATTTAAGTAGATTTTCGGTTACAAACTCCCTATTTCGCACACTATTGACCTTGCCTAAGACCAAAACAAAGCCAATACTGACAATGAAAGAGGGATTTGGTTTAATATTTCCTGTCTTTCAGGGTTTTGCTGACGCCTCAGATGTGCTTTACCCATAAACATTATTATTATTCAGTTGACGCAGTTTTGCTCTCAGTCGGCTGTGTGGATTCCAATCAAGTGCCTTGCTGAAGTCAGTAGAAAAACTCGACTGACGAACTCATTTCCAATGAATTCGTCCAGCTTCCCATGGATGTTAGCAGTTCAGTGAGACAAGATCGATCACAGTTATGCACATGTTGTTGCGGACTTCGCTAGGTGTCCTCCATAATCTGCTTCATTATCCCCGTTATGATTATATTCTCCAGTAGTTTACAGCAAATGCTTGTGAGCCTAACTGTACAGTCCACTGTCGGCAACAATAAGGCTGCAGAAGGTACTTAGATATCCCTACTTACAGGATTATGTATTACGGGAGTGATGTTAATAAGAGTTTTATTGGTAGGTCATACCAGGAGAAAGAAGAAATAAATTTCAAAAATAGAACGTATAAAAGCGGGAAGTATTTATTTAAATAACCAAAAATGTGCGCGCATTCCAATTTGTGACTACCCTACTACAAAAGCAGATCGTTCATGTGTGTAGCCTGGCCCACGTTACACGTAGTTTGAATAGAAGACAGCAATCCTGACCGCGCATTATACGAAATTTTTGTATAAGGTCACCATGTATCTGCCTTTAACTTAAAAGTAATAAGTCAAGAGTAGGTAAACATATTTTAGAGGGCAATGAGCCTTGTCTTGTCACAAGTTTTGATGCATGCCTGTGAACCTTTTTGAAGGAATTGTGGACCTTCGCAGCCTTGGTTATCCAGGCTTGGATATCTGACTCCAGTTTAGACCGCACAAATGTTCAAAAGACCTTAGCGAAGCAGCTTTTATCAAAAACAGAGAAATCTCGTCTGACAGGGTACAGGACGGGACATTTCAGACTTAGATACTTTTACACAGTGCAGCGAGGGCTTCAACGACATTGTGATCCACATCCTCAGATGTTGCTGCCCGTCTACTTCTTGCAGTTGGATACACTTCAGACATTAATCCATTGGATTCTGAGAGCTGGGTCGACTGTAGGAGTCTGCCATCCAGCGCAACTGCGCGTGATGCATTTTATCTTTACTCTGCCAGACGCTTCTCCCACGCGCAATTACCCACTCCGCGCGCTATCGGCCCCTCTCATGCTATCAATCAACTCGCTGCCTGATAAGCGCATAAGTTTCAAGTCAATCGATACTCCCACTTCATTTGATTAGCTGCAGGCGGCATAGTACTCGTCGTGCAAGCAAGCTGCACAACAACACTTCTAGCACATTAAAGCTGTTGAAGTCCGTTATGCCTTACCTGACTTGTCATTTGTGGAACCTTTTCTTGCCGACTCTACAACATGCGACATGGCCAACTCATGGGATACTGCGTTTGTTCACATTAAACGGTAGAAGCCAGTCCTTCGACCATGTTTGACGTCGGTTTAGATTTGCTTGCAAATGCCTTTCTTCAACTGCATTTCCGTTGTCGTTCTAAATCGTAATATCAGACCTAGCGATATCACAATCCAGTCCGTGGTTTTATTCTAATATCTAAATATGTATATAGAATCGATATTGGTGTGTAGCTAGTTCATATTCCCTATTGGTGGGATTTGTCACAGTAATACTCGCGCAACATTTTGGCTATTTAAATAATAATTTCCTATTATTTTCTGCTCTCATACACTCAACTTTTTAATTTACTTTTTGCTTAGTGTGATATGATCCAACCACAACCCCACATAAACACCGGTCATATAAGGCCCAATACCGGGGCTAGGCAGATATATAGACCTCGGCCAAAGGTATTGTTTGGAAATTCGAAATCCTGGCCCCGATACGCCACCATACTATTTGAACAGAATCCCACTCCGAAAGGTTAAATACAAATACTTCTCGGCATTTTGATAAAAGACAACATAAAACCTTCTACACAACGTTTTAAGGCAGCCAAAAATACAAACTAGACGTTGGACGCAACCATGTGGGCATTCGCTGATTTCGATGAGGATTAGTTTTCTAAAACCTTCGGTAACTATATAAGGCCAAATCATGAATACGCAATCCAAGCCTGGAGACCGTATATGCAGCAGGAGTACAACCTACTCGACGCGTTGCAGCTGCGGGTCACGAAATTATTAAGAGACTAAGGTGAACTCCCATATGAGACCCGCCGAAGTAACCTTAATCTTTATCCTATGAGTTATAGAGAGTAACGCGGAGACTTGACACAAGCCGTGCGTATGGTACATGGCTAGGAGTGCAACCTTCTGTCTGAGGACTTTTTTAACACTCCATCACAACTAACCTTCGAGGCATCACTTCAAACTATGTGTTTCAAGACCGATTAGAGGTAAGGACGTATTGTTTCTCTTATCGGATACTGGAACCGTGGAATAACCTACCCGAGGCGATTGTAAGGTCCCAATTTGTGGAGACATTTGGGGAGAGAAACTGTGACATATATAATGAACGTAGTGTCAGTAGCAGCACTTTGCAACTGGCTCACACTTAT